GGGGGGGGGGGGGGGGGGGGGGGGGGGGGGGGGGGGGGAGGGGGGGGGGGGGGGGGGGGGGGGGGGGGGGGGGGGGGGGGGGGGGGGGGGGGGGGGGGGGGGGGGGGGGGGGGGGGGGGGGGGGGGGCGGGGGGGGGGGGGGGGGGGGGGGGGGGGGGGGGGGGGGGGGGGGGGGGGGGGGGGGGGTGGGTCCCTGCCAGTGCATCGCGACGGTGGGCTGGGAGGGGGGAAAAGTACCCTTTACAGTTGGGGTGCGCTGTGAGGCGGGGGATTAATGTGAGGTGTAGGGGGTGAGGATTATGAGAGGGTCACTGTTTTAGTACACACGAGCAAAGCCCGGGGAGGAGGGTAACCTGGCGTTTACCTGGAGAGAGTTCCGGGGTCAACGCCCCCTGCAGCCCGGTCTGTGACCAGGCCTCATGGTGGATCAGTACCTGATCAACCAGGCTGTTACTGCTGGCTGCATGCAATCCAACGTACGAACCACAGCCCGGCTGGTGAGCTACCGACTTTAGGTGCTTGTCCAATGCCTGCTTGAAGACAGCCAGGGGTCTATTGGTAATCCCCCTTATGTATGCTGGGAGGCAGTTGAACAGTCTTGGGCCCCTGACACTTATTGTGTTGTCTCTTAATGTGCTAGTGGCACCCCTGCTTGTCATTGGGGGGATGTTGCATAGTCTGCCCAGGGGCACTTCCCTACACACTGATGGCACACTTTTTCACTCTGTCCTGCCCACAACAAACACAGCATTCACCCCCCCCCTCCCCCCTCCCCCCGAGGCGTGGGGGAGGAGGCACTGCCTGGTCCAAACCTGGACATTGTCACCACACCCAACCCTCACAAACTGCACAACACTTCCACTATTTACGCTGAATCGATGCACTGGAATGTCCTCTCGCTGCTCTGGAATCTTCCCAAAGTATTCACCCTGAGTCCTGTTTCAGTCGTGACCTGACCAGCCTAGGGGGAGGGATAAGTGGGTTATATTGGGATTATGAAATGAAACTTGGAAATGAGAGAGTGGACATATTTAGAAATATTTTAAGAATGGTGCTGTATATATAAGTGAATTGTAAGATATAAATCAATATGTTACACCCTCTAAACCCATTTGAGGCCTGTGGCTCCGAGACTTTTGGTGTAGACCAACAGGATCACACAAGGGTGTTCTCACCACCCTAATTGGACCACATACTTTGTTAACAGCGCTTGAGAACATTAGTCAGTCAAGGCGTCATTACCACAGTCTTAGTGGATCATTTCATCATTCCATCCTTGATATTATTGCACCAGTAAAGAGGTTAGGATTCAACGGAAGACTCTAACCCTGATGACTACTGAATATTAGATAATATGAAATTCAAGACCAGCTGCTAAAAAGATATAAAGCAACAGACAGAATATTGCAGCACAAAATGATTCCACAGGGTGGGAACAGACGGCCAGAAGACTTATAAAAGGAGCAAAGGCAATGCACTATTGCTCAAAAATTGAAGAGTATAAGCCATAACCCCAGAAAGCTCTGAGGGCAACAACTAAAACAGTTGGGGTATAGGCCATAAGCCAGTGGATAGGTCTAACATATTACTCCACTCTCGATAATGAGAATTCCACACAACACTAAGTGGCATATGCTTTATTCCTACTACACATCTGTGCATCCAACAACTATAAGTAAACTACCAGCTTCATCAAATACCCTTTAACACGACTCTGATAAGTTTCCAACATACTATACCATAAAGGGGTAACCCCAAACAGTTTCAACTAGACTTTATTAAAAAAGAACTAAGCAGTTACACCCACTAAGAGCACAGGCCCCTGATAACATCCCGTCTAAGTTCCTAAAAAGATGGTGCTCTGACAGTCCATCCCTATTGCTCCCATAATAAATCAATCAATCACCACTAATACCGTACCGCGGGAGGGGATTAAGATGCAGAGTCTACTCCTATCTTCAAGAAAAGTAAGTAGGTCTGATGTCAGCAACTAAACCGTAAGTATACTCAGTATAAATATCCAAAATATCCTAGAGAGGCGGTGTACTCTCAAGTAGTTTTAAGTACCTTATTACAACATCATTCTCCATAACTATCAATCGGGCATTAAAGAATCTTACTCAACCCGACACCTCCCTAATTAATCTGATGGATTACCTGAGAACTGAAATGTCAAAGAGGGGAACCTCATAGGTATAATGGTAACCTTAGACCTGCAAAAGGCCTGTCGCTACAGTCTACCACAATAATTATGTAAAAACTTCAACAATCGGTCATAGTTACGTAGAACCTAAGGTTTAAGAAGTCCCTCACCTAAACACACAGGAGACAAATTGTTCAAAATCTCAACAAAACGGAATCAGAACCCCTGCCGAATAACATGTGGAGTTTCCCCAAGGTAGTATTCTGGTCCTTATTATACTTATTTATGTCAATGACATGCTAATCAGGTGTCAAATGCAAACTCCTACTGAATGCAGATGACAGTGCCCTGTTAGTTGTCCAGAAAGACCCACAAGACATAGCGAATGTTTTTAACACAGAACATGGAGTCCTGCCAGCAAATGGTTAGCGTAGACACAAACTATCATTGCCCTCGTGAAAACTGAAGCCATTCTCCTTTGGCACGAAACAAAAACTGAGTAGGGTAAATAAATTTAATTCCAGTGTAATGGGGAGCCCATCACTTGGTTGTAAGCAGTAAAATATCTGGAATCCCCTTTGACCCGCAGGCATAGAATTGATAGGGAACAGTGTAGTAAAAAAGCGAATGCCAGACTGAAGTTCCTTCTAGACAAGCACAGTGTCCTACCTACTGAGGCCACGCAGGACCCCTATGTCTAACCCTTATACATGCCATATGGAATACGCTGCTCTTCATGGTACCTCCTTGAAAAAAAAAACGAAAATAGATTGGCAAATCACCCAAACAAAATCGTAAGATTCATCTGGACCTGGACCAAGAAGAACATAAGGCCAGGATGAATTACAGCAAGTTAGGTAAGACCATTATCAACAGTTAGTACTTTATTATCGAAACGTTTCGCCTACACAGTAGGCTTCTTCAGTCGAGTACAGAAAGGTTGATAGAAGCAGAAGATACTTGAAGACGATGTACTCAGACCAATCGCCGGCCCCCTTAAAAGTTTTTGAGGTGGTCATCCCTTCAGTATACAGCCGTTATGGATATGCTTGATGTTGAAGACAGCGCGTAAAACAACTGAAGCTAAATCATGTTTATAAAATTGCTCACAAACAGTGTCCAGAATATCTTGCTGTCAATTCTGTCAAGGTTGGGAACCAAAGCAATCATAGTACTAGGGGGGGAGAGCACAGCTTTGTATTATTATTATTATAATCAAAAAGAAGCGCTAAGCCACAAGGGCTATACAGCGCTGCGCACAGCTTTGTAGTACCCACAGTCACTGGCCAGGCTTCAAACACCTTTTATTGTATACCCAATAAGGGATGGACCAGACTACCCGCACATGTCAAAGCCAATCAAAGATGACCAGTTCAAGAGGTGGCCAAAAGGTGTCTGATGGAATGTAGCTACAGAAAGGGCGGGGTAATGATTTTTCTATTTTTTTAGCTAACATACGTGTAAATTATTACTTATATCCTAGTTAATGACCCTCGTATTGGTATATAGTCTTTAATGACCCTCGTGTAGTAGAATAATATTTTTTAGTATGATAATAAATGTTATCTTCATTATATAAAAAAAGAAAATATTTATCACCTTTTTAATATATTAAATAAGGTAAGGACCCCAATGGAAATAAGTCACTCCTTCTGACTTTTTTGGGTTAACCCAGGTTCTCTACACATACGCTGCACAATGGTATGATAATTCTATGTACACTGTACTGTGTATACCATGAATAACTAACTAACTTAGGGTTGGGATACATAGGGCATCAGGGGTTGGGAATACATAGAATCATCAGTTGAATCAAAAGGCAACAGGATTGATACTTAGACATTCAGGGAGAATACAAGAGGCACATGTTTGAAATATATAGGACATCAGGTGACATATATACGGACATCAGGGTTGAATATTAGGACATCAGGGGTGATACAGAGGACATCAGGGTTGGATACCGGGCATCACGTGTTGAAAATAATAGGACATCAAGGGTTGGATACATAGGACATTAAGGCTGGATACAGAGACAACAGGGTTGGAATACATGGACATCACGGATGACATTACATAGGACATCAGGGTGATACAAGGACATCAGAGTTGATACATAGATATCACTGGGTTGGATACAAGGGACAGCCTGGTTGGAATACATTGGACATCAATTTGGATACAGAGGACAACAGGTTGGATAACATGGGCATCAGGTTGATACAGGACCATCAGGTGGATACATGGGCAACAGGTTGCTAACATAGAACACAGGGTTGGGATACCTAGACATCAGGGATTGGATACATAGGACATCAGGGTTGGATACATAACATCAGGGGTTTTCCGATACATGGCATCAGGAGTTGGATACTAGGAAACACAGAGGTTTGATACATTGGCATCAGGGTTGGATACATAGGACATCAGGGTTGGATACATAGGACATCAGGGTTGGATACATGGGCATCAGGGATGGATACATATGACATTAAGGTTGGATACAGAGGACATCAGGGTTGGATACATGGGCATCAGGGTTGAATACATAGGACATCAGGGTTGAATACATAGGACATCAGGGTTGGATACATAGGACATTAAGGTTGGATACAGAGGACATGAGGGTTGGATACATGGGCATCAGGGTTGAATACATAGGACATCAGGGTTGGATACATAAGCCATCAGGGTTGGATACATAGGGCATCAGGGTTGGATACATAAGACATCAGGGTTGGATACATAAGACATCAGGGTTGGATACATAAGACATCAGGGTTGGATACATAAGACATCAGGGTTAGATACATAAAACATCATGGTTGGATACATAGGGCATCATGGTTGGATACAACAAGAGTCGTCAGTGGCCCTTATAACCACAACAAGTGGCAGGGAGGAAGGTGTGGTGTGTGATGTCACCAGTGTGATGTATCAGCCTCACCAGTGTGATGTATCAGCCTCACTAGTGTGATGTATCAGCCTCACTAGTGTGATGTATCAGCCTCACCAGTGTGATGTATCAGCCTGACACTGACGATCACTGGTAAGTTAGTGACACTGCACCTTCCTGACACTCACCTGACAGTCACTGACACCAGTGTCTTGTGTCTCTTACTGAGTCAGACTTTATATAATAAGATATTACAAGCATCCTAGTGGAAATGTGTCACTGGTCTTTTGTTTTTGGGTATGTGTATCTGTCCGTGTGTACCTGTCTGTGTACGTGTACCTGTGTGTATGTGTACCTGTGTGTACGTGTATGTGTACCTGTGTGTATGTGTACCTGTGTCTGTGTACTCACCTATTTGTACTCACCTATTTGTGGTTGCAGGGGTCGAGTCATAGCTCCTGGCCCCGCCTCTTCGCTGATTGCTACTAGGTTCTCTCTCTCCCTGCTCCATGAGCTCTATCATACCTCGCCTTAAAACTATGTATGGTTCCCGCCTCCACTACTTCACTTTCTAGGCTATTCCACGGCCTGACTACTCTATGACTGAAGAAATACTTCCTAACATCCCTTTGATTCATCTGAGTCTTCAACTTCCAATTGTGACCTCTTGTGTCTGTGTCCCCTCTCTGGAACATCCCGTCTTTGTCCACCTTGTCTATTCCACGCAGTATTTTGTATGTCGTTATCATGTCTCCCCTGACCCTCCTCGCCTCCCAGTGTCGTCAGGCCAATTTCCCTCAACCTTTCTTCGTAGGACAGTCCCCGTAGCCTGGGACTAGTCTTGTTGCAAACCTTTGCACTTTCTCTAATTTCTTGACGTGCTTGACTAGGTGTGGATTCCAAACTGGTGCTGCATACTCCAGTATGGGCCTGACGTAAACGGTATACAGAGTCTTGAACGACTCCTTACTGAGGTATCGGAACGCTATCCGTAGGTTTGCCAGGCGCCCGTATGCTGCAGCAGTTATCTGATTGATGTGCGCCTCAGGAGATATGCTCGGTGTTATACTCACCCCCAGATCTTTTTCCTTGAGTGAAGTTTGCAGACTTTGGCCATCTAAACTATATTGTGTCTGCAGTGTTCTTTGCCCTTCCCCAATCTTCATGACTATGTGTACCTGTGTCTGTGTACCTATCTATGTATAGCTGTCCATGTGTACCTGTATATGTATGCCTGTATCTATGTGTACCTGTACTCACCTATTTGTGATTGCAAGGGTCGATTCATAGCTCCTGGCCCCGCCTCTTCACTGATCGCTACAAGGCACAGTACTCGCTCCCATCTTGTTTCTCATCCTCATATCTGACATAGACAAGGATGTCAGCCACAGCACCATGTCTTCCTTTGCAGATGACACCTGAATCTGCATGACAGTGTCTTCCATTGCAGACACTGCAAGGCTCCAGAAGGACATCAACCAAATCTTTCAGTGGGCTGCAGAAAACAATATGAAGTTCAACGATGAGAAATTTCAATTACTCCGATATGGTAAACATGAGGAAATTAAAACTTCATCAGAGTACAAAACAAATTCCAGCCACAAAATAGAGCGAAAAATCAACATCAAAGACCTGGAGTGACATGTCGAGATCTCACCTTCAAGACCATAACATTGTACAATTCATCGCTAGACAATGACAGAATGGATAAGAGAAACCTTCAAACTAAACTAGAGATCCAAGCCCATATACACTCTTCAGGTGCTTTTCATCTAGCTGGAATTTGCTGAATCTAACACCACCTTTAAAGGGCAGTGAAATTGCTGACCTAAAATTACAGAAAACCCTTCCTGTGCATAAAGAATAAAACAAATCAATTACTGGAGCGCTTGAAGGGTTCCTGAACCTGTACTCCCTGGAACGCAGGCAGAGAGATACAATTATATACACCTGGAAAATCCTAGAGGACTAGTACTGAACTTGCACGGGAATCTTCACAACAAACAAAAGACTCAGCAGACGATGCAACATCCCCCAATGAAAGCAGGTGTCACTACACTTAGAACAATATAAAAAGTGTCCGGGGGTTTCCGAGACTGTTCAACTGCCTCCCACTACATAAGGGGATTTCATAGACCCCTGGCAGTCTTCAAGCGGGCACTGACAACCTTAAGTCGTACCGACCACCAGGCTTGGCCCTTACATTGTATTGCTTTGCCAGCAATAACACCTGTTGATCACCGATCCACCAGAGCCTGGTCAAAAGACCGGGCCCGGGCGTTGACCCCAGAACTCTCTCTGGTAAACTCCAGGTAACTCCGGGTCCTCTCCCTGCTCTATTCTATGTTACCTGTGCATTGTTTGGTGTCTGTGTGTAACTGGTCTATGTTATCCTATGCTATTTACCTGTGTCTAAATAAACTTACTATAATAACAAGGACCCCCAATGAATATAGAATCATTTTGACCTTTTTTCGGGTTTACCCTACTAATTTACACATGTTACTGGCCGGGTTTGGCTAAAGCCTCGTTTCACATGGTAAAGGGTCCATCATTTCTCACGGGTAGAAACATTGGCTTGTTTTCCTTTACCCCGGGTTTTGTCTATGCTCACCCTCAATAAATGACCGGTGTTATTTAACTGTGTGGGTCGCACCTGGACAAAACGGCATAATTTCCCAAAACCAGCATAACAAGGGGCTTTCTTTTTATAAATTTTTGATATTATTGTGATGATTTGTGTAACAATTTGTTTACTTGTCCTAAATAAACTTAACACTTCGTCTGACCTTTTAGGGGTTATCCTAGTAATTTACACGACGTTATGAAACTGTGTATGATAATTGAAATTTAAACCAAAATTTTTGTTGTAATTTTGTTCTTATTTACCTGATTAAAAAACTTATATCCTAAGTCCCATCATCCCCAAAAGGGTTTCCTTAAATAATGATAATAACGATGATAAATAATGATAATGATAAATAATTATAATGATGATAAATAATGATAAGTAACATAAATGATAAAAAATGATAGCTTTATTCCCATAAAGTACAATATAGTGTACAAGTGACTTACATTAAGTGACATGTATAAACTGCTTTTAAGAAAGTCCCTCCTTGTTACACAGAGCATTTAATGACAGTGAGAGCTCTGATCCAAAAATTGCCCGACTCCCTCTCTTTGCACAGACCTGAATGCCTCCTATTCCCCCATGTGCTATATGACCCCTATAGGTTTAGCACTCCCCCATGAATATAACAATTAGTATTATGATAAATCAACAGTGTATTTTGTATCACCCACACAGGTTGAATCTTTGTTCCCCCCCCCCCCAAAAAAAAAAAATTACCGGTTGATACACATGCAAGTCCTAAAGAAGTGGTGGATAAATGAGATAAAAGATAAAGATTTTATTTCTTTGTAAAGGGCTCTGGTGGCCTGGTGGTTAACGCTCTCGCTTCACACGGTGAGGGCCTGGGTTCGATTCCCAGCCAGAGTAGAAACATTGGACGTGTTTCTTTCCACCTGTTGTCTATGTTCCCCATCAGTAAAATGGGTACCTGGGTGTTAGTCGACTGGTGTGGGTCGCATCCTGGGACACTGACCTAAGGAGGCCTGGTCACAGACCGGGCCGCGGGGGCGTTGACCCCCGGAACTCTCTCCAGATAAAAGGTTACAGTGTGTAATTACAATTTTGGTTTGCTAAGTACAAAGAAAGCCGCTATCGTGCCAGGGTATTTCGGGCAGACTAATCCTAGTACATAATAACTTCTTAAAACTAGACAGGATAAGAGTTGTTAGCTTTTATTAAAATCTTTATTTAATCTTCATACTAATGTGAGGTAGTCAAGGTGGAGGGTTATACAAATAATAATCTTGAAGTTGTGCATAATGAAAACAATATTACAATTAATGGTTCAAGCAGTAATATTTTATGGATTGGCAGATGTTAACCCTTAAACCGTCCAAATAGATCGACGTTCAAATCCGTAGTGCTCCAAAAGTAGATCTATGTTTTTTTACACATTTTCAAATGTAAAGAAAAAAAGATGATGTACATTTTTTACATACTTTTAAATGTTGAAAAAACGTATACAGTGGACCCCTGCTTAACGATCACCTCCCAATGCGACCAATTATGTAAGTGCATTTATGTAAGTGCATTTGTACGTGTATGTTTGGGGGTCTGAAATGGACTAACCTACTTCACAATATTCCTTATGGGAACAAATTCGGTCAGTACTGGCACCTGAACATACTTCTGGAATGAAAAAATATTGTTAACTGGGGGTCCACTGTATATACATTTGGACCGTTTAAGGGTTAATAGACTAGAGGTCATATAATATAATAACTTATTAGACGTTGTTCTGGTTGGTTAGGTTAGTATTGAGAGAAGAGATTATTTTAATGGAGTAACATGAGCTTTATCTAAATACAGCAGCCCATCTTTGAATAAGTTTTATTATATTTAACCCGTAAACGGTCCAAGCAGATGTGCGTTCACATGTGTAGTGCTTCAAAAGTAGATCAAAGTTTTTTTACATATTTTCAAATATAACAAAAAAAAAAAAGAGTAGATCAAAGTTTTTTTTACATATTTTCAAATATAACAAAAAAAAAAAGAGTAGATCAAAGTTTTTTTCACACATTTTCAAATGTAGAAAAACAAAAAAGAAGATCTACTTTTTTTACATACTTTCAAATGTTGAAAAAACGTATATATACGTTTGGACCGTTTACGGGCTAACCCTTTGAGGGTTTTGGACGTACTAGTACGTCTTACGCGCAGGGGTTTTTGGCGTACTAGTACGCACAAATTCTAGCGCCGTCAAATCTCCGGGAAAAGGCTGATAGGCCTACATGTGAGAGAATGGGTCTGTGTGGTCAGTGTGCGTGGTAGAAAAAAAATCTGGGACCCAGTGGTGCATTGTGGGAACGCCATCTTAGTAAACAATATCCACCAGGGCCTCGCGGTAAGAAGCTCCTCACTCCTCAGCGAATTGGGACACTTTTGTTCCCCAGTGACAGTTCTAATACAGATGGAAGTGCCAGTAAGATGATTTCAAGGTTTTGGTGGGGTTTTTTGACCGAAACTAAGGGACCATAATATCGTAATAGTGAGGAAAACCCAGACGACCCTCAGCCTT